GGGGTGGGGGGGTGGGTGTGGGGGTGGGTGGGGGTGGGGGTGTGGGTGTGGGTGTGGGTGTGGGTGTGGGTGTGGGTGTGGGTGTGGGTGTGGGTGTGGGTGTGGGTGTGGGTGTGGGTGAGGATGTGGGTGTGGGTGTGTGTGAGAGTGTGGGTATGGGTGAGGATGTGGGTATGTCAAAGTAATGAACATTCACATCGATGCCCCACATCCACACCCACACGCATTTTTGTATTGCGAATTTCATGCGCAGAAAGAGAGTATGAATAGATGCTACAGATATCACTTTGTAGAGCTGCCTTTCCTCTATCGAATTATATATAATAAGTTGAAAGTCGATCAATTATTGATGAAGATATGGAGCGCACAAGAAATCGAAAATGATACGAAAAACGGCATTTTTGCCACCTTTCGACACAAAGATGACGCAGGAAATTTTTTGTACGACGTTTTAAATTTTATTTTTAGGTAGGTTTTATAGCTTTTCGATTGTACTATCCAGCGCATGCTTCAAATTTTTGAGCTACGAAGATCTACATAGGTTTTTTCTCAAAATACTAGCTTTTTCTGCATAGTCGGTTATCAGTATTTTGAGAATATCCCATATGTGGGATATGACATGCCCCAAATTCTGTAGCCAGTTTTGTAGAGAATTTCGAGCGCTATCAAATGATATATAAATATTCGGGCATCGGTTCATGTTTGATGCAGATATTGGGGTAAAACCAAAAAATACCATTTTTGGCTGAAATCGAAGTAGCCGTCAGTGTTATTCCCATAATTTTTTTGTTTCTCAATGGATTGAGCTCATATTTTGGATTTATAGGTTTCAAGTCAAGGGCTTTCTCCTAGAATAATAATAATAGAGGGTCAACATTGTCGAGAGTACGACCTGACTCGATCGGCTCATGGACCCTCTCTTAATTGCTCGACTTATTTCGTTCTAGGATGAGGTTGCAATTTAGTGAAATCTACAGGATTCCAACTGAAAACAGATATGCAATGATGCATATTTATTCTCTTGTGTGAAACAATGCTTTAAATTAAACCAACCGACGACTACTCTATTTGGTTTTCTACACTTCTCTTACCGTCATTTCAGCTCTTAGAGTCCACATGTCACTTTCGCTAGCTGTCAATGTTTTTGTGTAAGTTTGACTTTGGTCTGTTGGATCACGATTTTCAAGCTCCGCTACGAACGTTGCTTTTGGAGGTCCTATATTCTTTCGTTTAAAATGGTTTAGATCATAGTGTACTGATGACATAATATATTGTACTTCTTCACGAACCCAATGGAACTGAATTGGCTCCAGCCGCTCTCCACTTGACCCACTTATATACAATAAAACAAAGCCTCGATGCTGTTCACAAAAATGATTGCCGCTACGGTAACCGCCACAGGCACGACTTGATCTGCCTTTATTAGTAAAAAGCTGTAACCGATCTAAAACCCAACCCCAAGAACCGGTAACTTTTACGATTTTTTCATCAGCATCCAAATATACTACAGATGATTTTCTGACAAATTATTTTCAGTCGACCACGTATCGTCATAATTCTTTAGATTTATTTGCATGGACAAATCGAAGAATCAATGCTATCATTCTACTTGTAGACAATGCAATTTAGATTAATATGTTGCGAGACATGAGTGGGACCGCCCTTTCAGTTAGATTCTTTCAATACGTTAAATACAAATCATAATAGCTGTCCGTGAAAACTGGTATTTCGTTGATTTCTTCACTTTTTTCTGATGTTATTCCTCAATAACTTCCTGAAATAGATTCAAGTATTTTCCTGAATAATGCTTTACAAAAAAGTCATTTGTCAAAAAAAGTCTCCGGGCCATACTACTGCCTGACCAATTGAATAATGTTCTTTGATTTTGTCAAATTGATCCTTCGGAAGATTGATATTGCGGATCATCGTTGTTTCATCCTGTTCGATTCGAACGATTGTTCCTAGATTTTGTTCGATCCACTGTTTGTCATTAAACACAGGAGTGGCCGTAAGGCGAATTTGATTCAAACCAAATCGACGTCTTTCTCGTGCTGCTCCTAAAAGTAATTGCTCTTCAATCTCGCGGCTTGTCGCTCGCCATTCGGACACGGAATAGTAATCATGATCGTGCTCTTTGTTTAGCACAATGTATCCTTTTCCAGGAATGGTATGGAGAATTGTTTCGCCGTCATGCTCCCAATTCCAATTGACCCATCCTTCAAAGTATGTGCGAGGTCGATCAAACTGGAGCGGTCGCGGTTGTTTAGCATAGATTTCAAACACTTCGCCATCGGCCTTTGCCGTTTTCCAATCGAATCTCGGTGAAATAGATGCTTCATCAATGCCCTTGTTCAAATCAATGAAAAGATGCGTGCTCAAACTGTGCTGTTCAAAGCCGACCGAGGCATAATGCGAGTGACGGAGACTGTTGAGTATCGAAATGTGGAAACCCTCATTTGCCATTTTATCTACAGCTTGCTGGAGCAAGTAACGAGACAGACCTCGCTCTCTGTATTCGGGTAAGGTCGCCACATTAGCAATCCCACCACAGAGATACGTATCAGCACCATCGTGTAATGTTAGCCGACAAATATGTAAGGCACTCACGAGTCGACCGTCGCACCATCCAGCTAGTGTGTCACCGTATCGATAAAATGGCGACGCCGACGGGTAATAACGTTCAAAATATCCTGGCTTACACTCATAATTCACCTGGTACCACAGGTCTAGTGCTTGCGATTGTTCGTGCTCGGCCACTGGATGGTAATCAACGGTAGTAGTCATACTTTATTTGCAAATGTGTTAAGAACTGCGAAAGTAGGACTGCCTTATCAGTATGCATCTGTGTGGTGTGATATTGCATGCGTTCTAGATAAGGAGAACATATTTTTCAAAACATCTTTTGTGCTTGTATGAAGCTACGTCTTTTTCTTCAATTAAATCCATCGACACAACAAAAATTTGCGAAAATCTATATTCTCTCCGAACCTTGAGGTGATGATCTTGACAGATATCTTTCTTTTTTCGTTTCTACTGCTACCTTCCGGTTATTCATGTGCTTTCTCATCTAAATAATTGCTGAAGCAATTGTTGACAAATGATGATTGAAAACGCAAAATCAGTCGCTCAAAACATTCTAGGGTGTAGGTGTGAGTGTGTTAATGTGGGTGTGGGTGTGGGTGAGTGTGGGTATGGGTGTGGGTGAGTGTGGGTATGGGTGTGGGTGAGTGTGGGTATGGGTGTGGGTGTGGATGTAA